CGCTAGTTGGGAACGGAGCAGATTTGGGGCTTCCCGTAGCTATGGGACTGACCATTGTGTGCTACCCGCCGGCTAGGTGGCTGGAGCTGAGGTATGTTGGGCGATAGATTAGCGTTAGGGGCGTGCACACCTGCGCCGTGAAGAAAGCGAGAATTGAAGCTTGAGCAATCGCGGGAAGCGAGTCTGAAGCTCTCCGTCGCGTAAATCGAATGATTTTTCGAAGCCGTTGGACACAGCTTTCATTCAGACATCGATGGTGCAATAACACACGAAGTCTTCTCGTCTCGGCATGGCGGCTTATCGATAAGCGTGGTAACGATGTCGTCATCGTCATGTCCTCTCCCTTACCCATATGCCCATCCATTTTCCAAGCCCAAATCCCCTTACGAGGCCGCAATGACAACGCAGTGAGATATCGATGCACCATATCGTGACGGGACGTAGTTTCCGACAATGTGGTTAGAGTTATTCTCCCCGCTCTTGGCAAACGTGGGGCTTCGCAGCTTAGCTTTGCGCATCTTTCGACGATAACGCAGGAACGATAAACAACTTCATCGCTACTCGTAGCTTCAGCTCAACACCTTCCTCATACAAACTGGATGCCAAGAGAGTGATATGCACGATGTCGTGATGTCAGACGCGACATGACGGCTCGTAACCGGCGAGATGGTAGATTAATGGCCGCGGATGTAAGCGGAGGAGTTGAGCGACGGTGAGTGGGATGGTAGGACAGAGTATAAGATCTGATGCCTGTTCGGAGATATCAGCGCACCAGGTCTGTTGACTCTTGATCTTTCGGGCACCATGCGCTTCTCAAACATCGCGGTCGCTACTCTGGGTGCTATCGCGAGTGCGGCACCGACAGCTTCGCAGTTCCAACCACGTCAAGCAACGACTGCCAGTGAGCGACTTGGTCTAACATGGCTTGGCGGTAACAGTAGTTTGCCCAAAGTTCTGTACGTATTGCGGACGAACGTGGTGTACACACCTAACGCAATCTAGTGTCCTATTCACCGGAGGCACCATTGCAGGAGGCTCAATATACGGTGCTCTGGACGACACACAATACGGCCAGCTCAGTCAAACAGGAGAGGACATTATTGCCCGCAATCCCTACCTTCTCAACAACACCCAACTGGCCGTCTCGAACTGGACCACAGAAGACGACGGCTCAACAGGAACAAATGACGCTCTAGTCATGAACATGACGCGTTTCGCCTACGATGCACTCTGCTCAGAAGACAGCGACATTGTCGGTGCAGTATACACCCACGGCACCAACTCTCTCGAAGAAACAGCCTTCCTCATGGACTCGCTCGTAAACTGCGGAAAGCCCATTGTCGGTACCGGAAGCATGCGTCCATTCACCCATCTCTCCTGGGACGGAGAAGCCAACTTCTTCGACGCTGTGATGCTAGCTGCAAGCCCTGAGTCGCAGAACCGAGGTCTAATGGTGGCTTTCAACGCGCGCATCATACCGGGATATTGGGTCACGAAGCTGCATTCGACGAACCCGGATGCTTTTGGTCCTACGTCTGGTGGGGATCTGGGCATGTTTATCAACAGTCTGCCCATCTTCTTCAATACGCCGAGCCAGCCGTTGTACAAGTACTACTTCGATATCGGCACCGTGTCTTCTCATCCTACGTACCCTGCGCTTCCAAAGGTCGACATCCTCTACGCAGCCCGCGAGTTCGATGGCAAATTAGTGTTGGACGCGCAAGCCAATGGCGCTGAAGGTGTTGTTATTGCGGGTACTGGTAACGGCGGCGTGCCAAGTGGCCAGGAAGAGATTACTGAAGCGTTGGACAGCGGGCTTCAGATCGTTGTGGGAACTCGCAGTCCGCATGGACCGTCTAGTCCGGCTCGGACACCTACGTTCGCGAAGTCAGGATTTGTGCATCCTATTCAAGCGAGGATCATGCTCCAGCTGGCTATTGCGAGCGGAATGAATATGAATCAGACGATTGATGTGTTTGAGGGTGGTTTCAGAAAGGCTATTGGACAGCCTTGGGATCCAAGCAGCTAAAGATGAGATATGTAACTAATGACCCACACTCATGAAGATAGAACTCTAAATGCCGTATCATATTAATGTCTCTCTTAAAACTCCGGATACCTTGACAAAACCCTTTTGTCTCGATGTATGATGTTCCCCTCTCGCTCTAGCAATTCCCGTCATCTTAAGCTGGTCGATCCTGTTCCCACCACCTCTCTCCATTTGCGCCTTTTACATCCAAACCGGGATGTACGTGATAAAGGTTGTACTCATTTCCGATATCACTCAGCCCATCTCCCGCCTCATTGATCAACATGCCCGGACCTGGTCGAGCCATGAAGTAGCAGTACCGATGGATGTCCTGTGAGTTGTCCATCCAAGGCATCACATCGTCTAGAAATGATTTGACTTCATCGTCAGTGCCATCAGCGCGGAATTCGGTTATCCAAATAGGAAGGCCGTTGGCGAATTTGCGGGCGTCATTGATATGGTCTTTGAAGTTTTGGGCATCGCGGGCCCGTCCGTACCTGGGAATCTGATCGTCAGCCTCATGATACGGTATCCGGTGAGTTGTTAAGACACGTTGAGCGTAGCGTGTGATGACGAGGGGGCTTACCAGTGGAGGTTGATGAAATCGACGGTACATCCGTCGCACGTCTCCAAGAACTTCTTGAGCCAGCCGAGACCCTGAGTGTCGGATGGCGCGGCGTTTGTGACGCCTGGTGAGCCGAGGTAGATTTTGCTGTTGAAGGTTGAGAGGGGTTGCATGTGTTTCTTCCAGCCGGCGACGGCGGTGGCGACGTCGATACAGGAGCCGCCTGCATCAGGACTGATCAATCATTAGTATCGCGACCACCGTCAGTGTACCAAGACTTTGGCCAATATAAGGAAGTCCGTTCACTCACATGCAATTATCCGGTTCATTGAATCCCAAAAACCACGTCGCCATCTCTTGTTGTCCCCAGTTCAATCTCGCCTGCGCCTCCGCGTTGTCTTTCCACTTGCTTGTATGATCGTCCCTCAAACTGTGCAGCATGGGTACATATCGGAACCACGCATCAGAAGGGGGGCTCGAGGAATCCCAGTTGTAGCGCCAGGTTACGTGGTCGTGGTGGTCATATTGGAAGTACTGGGCGTATTTGACGTAGTTGTAGGCGATGCCGCGACGTTCGTGGGCGGGCTTCTGGTCGAGCGGATCATGCTTTGTGCTGGATCCTGTGGAAGTGGTGTTGGAATTATCTGGAAGGGGGTTGGCGATAACGAGGGCTGAGAGGAGGAGGAAGAGTGGAAAGAGTAGGGAACGATTCATGGTGATCTGAGGTCTTGCTGGTGGGAGGGAACTGTTGAGAGTGGTTGGAGATGTAGAGTAAACGGTCATGGAAGAAGATGTGAAGATGGATTTGAGGTAGTGAGTGAGTGGATCCGGTCAAGGGGGCTGCTAAGAGAAGAGGGTGTAGTGAGAGTAGAAGCGTGATCAATTACCGCCGTGAGGCTAGTGTTGATTAGTTCTTGATACAAGTGAGAGTTGTGCAAACGCTTGAATGAGTTGCTAGATCGTACTCCAGGTGAGGACTCGAAATGACTGCTTCCAGTTGAGCAAGTCATGCTCAAGAATAGATAGTGAATAAGAGTAGCGATCAGTAGACCGTCAAAGGGCGAGATATAGTACCAAAGATAAGATGAGGCGTTTGTCGTAAATTGCAAAATGACCATATAGATTGCATCCACAAACAAAACCCTTCTTGGATTTCTTGACCGACTTTGACGAACACTCTCACTGTAGGCGGTTAGTGAGGAAGCCATTCACTTCAAACGTAAATAAACCGCACATGCAATTTCATTATGTCGTTCAAAACTTCCAAGCATTGGTATACACATAAGTATTTGATACACGGCTCCTGTGCGGGCCCTACATCTTGCCGCCAGTGAGCTCTTCGGCCACCTTCTTGACGCGCTCCTTGGCAAGGCCAACACCTTCGCCTCCCCTGAGCTTGTTGAGCATGTCGCCCACACCCTCGGGTAGGGGTCCATGCCACGGGCTGAGACCCTCTTTGCCCTCCGCGCGTGGGCCCATGATGCCCTTGTGGTCCCAGCCTACAGGCGCATCTTCGGTACCAAAAGCCGCCTCTATGGCCTCGTCCAATTGCTGCTCGTCTACGATGAACTCGCGCGCGTTGGTGTATAGATCGTGGAGGCGAGATGCGCGGACTTCTTGTATCTTGGCTACTCGGCGATCATAGGCTTTTTTGCGGGCTTGGGTGATGTCTGGCCGGGGAGGAAGGCTGTCGGTGAGGAAGTCGCGAATGCCCTTGGCTACGGATGTCTCAGTCAAGATGTCGACTTCGCGACGCGGGGCCGTGGCCAGCTCTCGCCTCTTTGCGCCAATGGCCTGGATCTTGGCCAGGTACTGTGCTTCTGATGTGACCTTGCGCTCGTGCAGCTCCTTGACACCCTCCTTCAAGTTCTCTCTCCTCTTTTCCGCCAGTCGCTGCTTGTATAACCGGTAGTCGGCATCCCGGCTGTATGGTCCTGGAACCTTGACCTCCTTGGGTTCCTTTGTGCTCCTGCCAATGAAGATGTCCGACTCCTTTGGGTGCTTGTTCCTCGTCTTGAAGATGTCTCGGGGAATTGGCAGATGGCCCTTTACCGTGGGCTTGGCCGGGTAGGTGGGCTGCAGCGGCTTCGGAACCTCGATGTAGTTTGGGGATTGCGGACCGAGGGCGAGGGATGTGGGTGTGGAGGAGAAGGACCGCACACATAGACTGCTACTCCAGCCATTGGCGACAGGTATCCTTGGCGGCATTGCAGCGGTGTTGCCTCTTGCACTGGAATGCGGAGGTGCTGCGGTGGTGTCGTCGCGCTTCGAAATTGTCGGTGCCAAGGCTCTTATGCCCCACTCATTTTGTTGGGCCCGTGCTCAGGAAAAAGTTCGAGCTGGGATTCGGCCAACTTATACCCTTCACTCTTCCCCCAACTCGACAAATTCCAGGAAGCAGTCGCAATGGGTGTCCAGAAGAAAGAAAAGGTCCGCAAGGAGCGCGAGGGCAAGACGGGCGATGGCATGGGCAATGTCAAGGTCAAGGGCACCAACTTCTACCGGTATGTTCTTGCGCCTTCTTTTCTTTGCGCCAGCAAACTTCTTCCAGTACACCTTCACTAACAGCTTTCCAGCGATGCGAAGAAGGTCAAGGTTCTCAAGCGCCTCACAGACGGCAAGGCTCAGCGCAACGCCAAGGGAGACATCACCAAGGCTGCTGTCTACCAGAACCGCGATGCGCCAGTCGCCCGTGTCGAGCCCAACAGGAAGTGGTTCAACAACACGCGAGTAATATCGCAAGATGCCTTGGACAGCTTCCGCTCGGCCGTACAGGCGCAAGCCTCCGACCCTACCACCTTCCTGATGAAGCGCAACAAGCTCCCCATGAGCTTGATCGAGACACCAGGCCAGATCCCCGGCCTGAAGCAGCATGCTGCCAAGATTGCCGTCGGCAGTCAGCCTTTCTCAGAGACCTTTGGCCCCAAAGCTCAGCGGAAACGACCGAAGCTTGATTTCAGCTCTATTGAGGATCTTGCTGGTCGCACAGGAAGCATGCACGAGACATACGTGGAGCGCCTCGAGCAGGCCAAGCTGTTGTCGGGCACGTCTGGCGAGGCAGAGACCAACGAGTCTTTCAACGACAACCCCAACGGCGAGCTTACATCCGCGCGCGAGTTCATCTTCATGAAGGGTACTTCGAAGCGTATCTGGAACGAGCTGTACAAGGTAAGACCTAAGCCATGTTTCCATCGAGCCACGTCTAATCAATTCTTCAGGTCATCGACTCGTCCGATGTTATTCTACACGTTCTAGACGCCCGTGATCCTGATGGAACCCGTTGCCGCTCCGTCGAAAAGTACATTCGTACTGAGGCACCTCACAAACATCTGGTCTTCGTCCTCAACAAGGTCGATCTTGTTCCTTCCAAGGTTGCTGTAAGTTCACTTCCCCTACATACTCCACTCCTCCACCATCCACACACCCTCCTTAAGTCAAGGACCTACTCCTATTCCATGAATACGGTTCTGTTACAAGTTGGGAAGATCAAAAGTGGCTCGCTGTCCCAAAATCGTCTTGATTGCGGGTCGATCGCAACCGTCTTGGTTGCCGATCAATAGAGTCACGCGTGATTTGTTTGAGTTGAGGACCGTCTCTGCACTCGCAGGCCCCTTCATGGCGGTACTCTTAGTAATATTTCGCACATTCCATCATCGATGCACATTATCATGTCAAGTTGATGGTCAAGCACTGACACTTGACAGGCCGCCTGGGTACGCCACCTTAGCAAGGAGTTCCCCACACTTGCTTTCCACGCCTCCATCAATAACAGCTTCGGTAAAGGTTCCTTGATCGCCCTTCTCCGACAGTTCAGCTCTCTCCACAGCGATCGTAAACAAGTCTCTGTGGGCATGGTCGGTTATCCCAACACTGGTAAATCGTCCATCATCAACACTCTGCGGAAAAAGAAGGTGTGCGTTGTTGCGCCCATTGCGGGTGAGACCAAGGTCTGGCAATACATCACTTTGATGAAGCGCATTTACATGATCGACTGTCCTGGTATCGTCCCACCGAACCAGAACGATACCGATCAGGACCTCCTACTCCGCGGTAGTGTTCGTGTTGAGAACGTCGAGTACCCAGCACAGTACATTGAAGAAGTTTTGAAGCGGGTACAACCGCGTCATCTCCAGCGAACGTACGACATCAAGGCATCCGACTACAATGACGATGCCGTCGCGTTTTTGGAGCTACTGTGCAGGAAGAGTGGCCGTCTGCTCAAGGGCGGTGAAGCCGACATTGACGGTGCTGCTAAGATGGTTCTGAACGACTGGATAAGAGGAAAGCTTCCATGGTTCACTCCACCACCGTACAAGGAGGGTGACGATGTGAGCGGACCCATCAACCCCAAGCGTGAAGGCCTGATGGGTGAGATGAGCAAGAAGAGGAAGCGTGGTGGTGAGAGCGAGGCTGCTGGAAGCGTGGCTGCGAAGACAGACGCCACCGGTGCGACGCAAGACGAAAGCGACGACGATGACGATGACTTTAGCGGCTTCAGCGATGAAGATGGCGTGGAGATGGATGATGATGATGAAGAGGAGTCCGACGATGAGGAAGGCGGTGAAGCTGAGGATGATGAGGAAAGTGAAGACGATGCACAGGTCGAGGAAGAGCTTGCCGCGATAACGCAAGCGCTGGCTAAGGCGAAGAAGCGGCAAAAGACCACGTAAGGTCAAAAGGATTAGTTAGTTTATGATTCAAATGATACCCCGATATTACGATGTCTCACAATTATTGTATTGGTTTTGAAGTTTGGTGTTCTATTCTCTTGTGCTGCAGCGGAGTCGGCTCGGAGGGTCGCTCCTTCCACACCTTCGAGACGCATGCCCAGATGCGGAGGATACCCCACTTGTGTCAGCGCAGCGTTCTTCAACCCTGGTCACTTCTTTCTCTTCGGGCCTGATTATCTCTGCCTCTTCGAACCCGACCACCTATGCATCTTCAAACTTCATCACCTATGCCATTTCCAGGCCTGATCACCTGTGCTATCTCCAGGCCCCATCATGTAAACCCAGCCCTGAAGTATACCCACGATGCCGGATGACACCGAGGCTGCATTTGTTATACCTCACCAACTATGCTTCTGGTGCGATCGGGTCCTGACGGAACTGCGACCTTTTTTCTCAACGACGCTCAAACACGACCGCCTCATTGAGCACTACCCAAGCATGCAAATGTTCATCAACAGCGTCCTCCAACAACCGCAATGTCAGCTCTGCGCCATGTTTGTAGAATCCTTGGTTGAACGGTGCGGACTCGAGACAGGAGTTGAGGAAGCGTTGGATAAGCTAAGGGAATATCGTGGGAAGGAGGCTGATCGCCCGCTTCTTACGGCGATGGAGAATTTGGGGTGGGTACCGAGGGGTTGTGAGATGGCTCATTGTTTGGCGCTTAAGTATTATACTGATGGAAGGACGTTGGAGACGGTTGCGTGTGTGAGGTTGTTGCATTTTAAGGGGGATACGAGTGTCTCGTCGGCGAGCACGACGAATGTGGAGTGATGTTTGGGAATTGTTCGACACTCGTTCGCTCTCATTCGACTCGACCAGTCTTGTCCCGTCTACATTTGTTTTGATATGTACGGAGGAGCACAGCCTTCCGAGGCTTTTCCGCAATGGTTTCTCGCCCGTGCCACAGAGATGCATGTCCGTATGCGGAATAGACCCCGCTTCTGTCAGCCCAGCCTTCCCTCGGCCTGATCACTTCTGTCTTGTACAACGTTTAATCTACTCATCTCTACTTTCTCCGATCTGATCACGACGTCATCTCGATACTCGACATGTCAGCTGCCATCGAAAAGCCAGCTATGCCTTACTGGCTATGCCAATATTGTGAGGTTGTCACTAGGCAACTAACAGCGATTATTAAGAAAGGCGTCAAGCATGACTTCATGGTCGATCACTACCCAAATCTACAAGCTCTCATTGATGGTATACTGGAACGACGATGTCATCTTTGCGCAGTCTTTATCGGAGGTATTGCTGCACTCCATGGCCTAAGGACAATCGAAAGAGTTCTGGAGAAGTTAGATGAGTATCACGATAAGGCTACCCGCCCTCTCCTTATGAACGTGTCGGTAACTTTTGGCCATGACCTCAATCGCGGTGATCCTACCTGCCTTGGACTTAATAAATGGAACCCCATAGCCGAACCAGTCAGTATTTTGAAGCTGAGACACAATAAACGAGGTACAGGCAAGAGATATATATTACCAGATTTGCTATCAGCCTTCACGGGATCGGATCAAAGTTTTGCATTAATTAAGAGGTGGCTACGGATATGCTCAACGGAACACCCTGAGTGCTGCATAAATTCAATGCAATTCAAACCAACAAGACTGTTGGATCTTGGAACGCGAGACGCAGATGAGATCAGGTTGGTTGCTGGGAGCACCACTGGGCATGCGCCATATGCAGCACTGAGCTATTGTTGGGGGACTGTACCCCAGCTAAAACTCTCATCAAAGAATCATTCAGAATTCGAGAGGAGAATTCCATTTGAGTCTCTGTCCAGGGTTGCGCAAGATGCTACTACAGTCTGTCGCGCTATGTCCGTGCGTTACCTGTGGATAGATGCGATATGTATCATGCAAGGGTCTGACGGGGATTTTCACCAGGAAGCGGCACGCATGGAGGGTGTTTATGCTAGTGCACTGTTTACAATCTGTGCCGGAGCATCTGCAGATACCACGCAGCCATTTCTGGGCCATCGTGATCCGCTATGGTGGACTCAGTGCCATCTCATCGATGAAAAAGGAGAATCTCTAGGGTACATGTGTGCCAACTACTGCGATCGCGACAACGACGTTCCTGGCAAGTTCGACCTCGACTCTCGAGGCTGGTGCTTCCAAGAACTGTTTCTGTCGCCGAGATCAATCTACTTTGGACCCAAGGGTGTCCATTGGATATGCCGCGAGGGAACCGTATGTGATCGCTATCCAGGCTTCGAAAGATTGGGTGGAATCAAAAACCACTGGACTCTTGATCGGGATTCTCCCAAGCAACTGTACAAGAGAGTAGTATCGTTGGGCCACGACATCTCTGAGCCTGAGACGAACCTCGAACTGTGTACGGTTTGGAAGGATATCAGGGCTAATTATTCTTTAAAGCAATTGTCGTACCAGTCTGATAAGTTGCTCGCACTGGCCGGAGTTGCTTCCATTCTTCAGAGAAAATTCAACGCGAGAGCGTCATTCGGATTATGGTTGGAGGTCTTCCATCAAGAGCTCCTGTGGATCGTCAATCCTACCACCTCAGGAAACAAAGGGACACGACGACTTGACATCGCTCCTTCATGGTCATGGGCGAACTTGGACAATTGTGAAATCCGAAGTCTTGTGGGTTATGATCCAGATACGGGGCATCGACTGCTCAACTTTAATCTGGCAACTATCATCTCTTTGCCCTCTGTTACCGATTTCGCGATCCCCTTACAAGAATCTGGCTACGAATACAATATATCCATACGACTCGTAGGTCGCATAACAGCGTGTGTCCTGCGTAAAAGGGAATTGTATCCGAAAGACTACCCATCACGCCCTACGCAGCTGGAGTGTAACTATTATGCAGACACAGTTCTGGAGGCGAAAGACCTCTATTGTTTTCTTGTAAAGAGGGTATTTAGAGTGGTTGTAGAGTCTGCGAGCGGGGAAACCCCCAACAGGGGACAGATAGAAGACAAATGCCTAGTCTTGACACCAGTTTCGGGGTCGGATCATCGTTTTCGAAGGGTCGGCGTTTATTATGAGCGATCATCTTGGTACCGGTACGACGGTGGTGCACTTTCAATTCACCCATGTATGTTTCATGGGGAGCAGGAAGAGCAAGAGATCGAGATCATCTGAAAGGCGCACAACGACAACAAAGGCAATAAGCCGCGATATCACCGCCATTCAGAACTAGTCTACGCCAACTCAAGCTCGATAAGAGAGTCAAGACTATGCGGATGGCGCCAAACACCCGTCATCTTCAAGCCTGCCCCTTCGTACATCTGTTGGTGCTCCTCTTCCGTTCGGTGTCGAGCTCCAAGACTGGCCATAAGCTCCCAGTCGAGACAAGCTATCACACGTTAGTCGCATATCATATCGTTGCGTCAGAAGACCTACTCTGCGCCCAGTGCGCGCCTTGATTGGGGACTACAAAGTCGTTCACAAGGACCTTGGAATAGCCTTTCTTCATGGCTGGCACGATGGCCTTGAGAATCTCGGTATTCACCTCATCATTCCAGTCTTGGATGATCGAATGCAGATAATATGCCCGCGCACCCTTCACAGGTTGCTCGGTCAGGAAGTCGTGTGCCATCGCCTCCGCACCAGGACCGAGTTTCGCAAGCTCAACTATCTCCGGTCTATCTTGCAGAACCAGTGTACCTGGTATCTGGCCTTCGAACGCCTCCCTCAGACCTTCAACGTCGTGTCCGGAACCGCCACCGATATCGACGAGAAACGGTACATCCTTCTCGGCACCGCTGATCAGCCGATCCTCGACAGGATAGTAATCCTTGGAGAACCACCGCGGCCGGCCCTTGCTCCAAGAGTCCATCATACTAGCGAAGCGACGTCCTACTTCAGGGTTCTGCTGGAAGAATTCAAAGTAATGGGTCCCTTTGCAGTTGTAGGCATGCTGGAACGGCGCATCGAGACTAGAGTCGGGGCATTTCCAGTCACGCTGATCAAAGTACGACTTCATGGATTGATGCGCCGGCGCAAAGTTCTCTGCGATATATAGTATTGAGTCTTGATACGATTGTTCGGCGAATGCGGAAGAAGTGGGAGTGTTTGCAAAGGTACCGGGACCAGTCTCGCGCACTGTGCCCATAGCAGCGAGATGTCGAAGCATGCGTCCAACGATAATCGGGTCAACATTCTTTTCGCACTTCTTCGCGATGTCTCCAACAGTAGCACCAGATTCCGGGACGTCTTTCATGGCCTGAAACAGCTTCACTTCCGCGCCCATCCAAAGTGTGCTCAAATGTGCGGGTTGCGCCCATAACAATTGCAGCATGTTCTCAGATGGATTGCTGACTTCCGCGATGAGCCCCCTACACGCGTCCAGCAACCCTTCTCTCGCGCCAGGACTCCCATTCTTGAAGTCATCGCTGAGTTGCGCAATGTTGTCGAGGAGAGAAAGAGCAGCCTTGCTCGGAGTGGAATCGGCCGCCATGATAGAGTTTAGAAAACGATTGCGATGATTGGGAGATGGAGAACGCCAGTCCTCGATCCTGATCAAGGCACAAGTCGTCTGCCCCTCGTCGGCCCAGTCTTTGCCGAACGGCAGCGGCAGCCGAAACCGGTGGCGATTGGTCACGGCCGAGGTCCAGAACCCTAAATCCTTGACATTACCACGTTGCGCCCACATCGTAAACCCCCTTGCTATCAGCCACTCCACCAGCTAGTCATCATTGGCCCCGTCGTGTGACAAAGGAATTGCCTCTTCGCAATTAGATCGGTTGGAAATGTCGCATCAGGAAGACCCCGAAGCACGAAGCCCTCCACCAAACGCGGCGCACAATTCTGCATTCGACTCTGGAATTGACGCCGGCTCTTCTTCAGAATTTGACCAGGAGAACAACGCGCACCATGCACTTGAAGCTCAAGATGACACTAGCGAATATTCAACCGATGAAGGGTGAGCTGGGCTGAATAATGAACAAACATCCTGTTGACGTTGTGCAGCTACGCCGATTCGGACGCATCTTCTTTTCTCTCTTCCATCTTATCGGAAGTCAGACGCGGCGTGGAAATAGAAGGTCGCTTGTATCCATCATACGGCAAACACGACTATGGCATGCCAATAGACGAAAAAGAATTGGATCGCAACGACCTCCAACACCACAAATACACTCTCCTACTCAAAGATCGATTATATGTTGCACCCATTTCGGAAGACACCCTTGCCGATGCAAACAGCCGGGTCCTGGATCTAGGAACCGGTACCGGGATATGGGCCATGGACATGGCGGACAAGTATCCCAACACGGAAGTCATCGGCGTAGACATCGCGGCTACACAACCACCATTCGTTCCACCAAACTGCGTTTTCGAGATTGATGATGTGGAAGAAGACTGGCCGTATAGACCGAACCACTTTGATTTCGTCCATGGCCGCGATCTCATGACTGCTGTGCGCGACTGGCCCCGTCTGATAAGTCAAGCATACGCGCACCTCAAACCAGGTGGCTGGATCCAACTAGCTAGCACAATCCCTGGCGCCCTGTCCGACGACAACACCATACCGCCCAACAGCGGCTACGTAGAATCAGGACGTCTTTATTTCGAAATCGCAGAGAAAATGGGCGCGCCACTCGATGCACCACGGTCCTGGGCCGCGCAAATGAAAGACGCAGGCTTCACCAACGTGCAAGATGAGGTATATAAGTTACCCATGGGCCCTTGGCCGCGGTCAAAAAGGTTGCGTACGATTGGAAAGTTGGAGCAGATTATGATATTAGAAGGAGGCTTTGAAGCGTACATGCTGCGGGGTTACACGCAGGTACTAGGAGGGAATGCTGATGACTTGCAGATTATTCTTGCGCTCGCGAAGAGGGAGGTTAGGGATCCGAGTATACATACTTATGTGCAGTTTCATATTACGTATGGGCAGAAACCGATGTAGGAGAAATAAGTTCAAAAAGAACGTATAAAGTTCAGTTTCTTATCAATGCAGACAAAGTACATTGATATCAAATATTCAAGGCTTTCCAGAAAGTTAGGAGGGGTCTCCACTTCTTGCATTGCTTGCACTAGCATAACATCCATATCTTGATCATTTTCGTCTTCGTCGAGCTTTTCGATGTCATCATCACTCTCCATCCTGTCTTCGAGGTAATTGCTAGCAGCTGCTAGTTGAAGTTGAACGGTTGATACGCAGGTCATGCCTGCCAGACGCACACTATACTACGTAGATATCTGACCGGACGTGAGTGGCACGTACTACTGCCTTGGAACGTCGAGTGAGGGGCACCATCCGAGGGCAGCCAGATATGGCGACCATAGTGAGGAATTGTTATCAGCGCGCACAAGAAGGCGAAAGATTGGCGCGCATGGAAGTCGTATCGAGGAAACAAGTTAAGACAGAAAAAGTGTGTACTTCTGGACTGTTGCTGGAAGGAAGCGATGCGGAGCCGACACACCAAGACGGGAGCGCGACAAGCTCATCATTAGCGCCATTAGTCGCTGTCGCGCCTTATCGTGCACGCGTCATTCGTGCTTGAGCCTCATCGAACGACTCCCGAAGGCAATTCGTGAACGAGCTCCTCACTTCCCAGCTCAGGCACCATCTTCACCTCGCCGAGTTCGTGATGGCCGTACTTTGCTGGCAACTCGTGAACGGAGGTACCTGTCAGCTCTGGAGCTGAATGCAGCGCGTCTCGACCAATCTTCTCGTCTGGCTCATCCAGCGCTGTGTTTTGCCTTCGCGTTCGCCTCGACTTCAGCACGAAGAACCACGTGCATGCTATACACAATAGTATTGCCGTTACGCAGCCGACGACAATGCCGGCGATCGCACCACCCGACAAGCCCCCTCGGGCGGCTACTGCATCACGATCCTTGTTCGAGATGGTTATGATGTTTGGCTCTAGGTTGTCCCACTTGGCAGCGCTGACGTTGAAGATACCAGATTCGAAATCGACGCCGATGTACGCTTCTTGCAAGAATGCTCTACCGATCGCGTACTGACTCTCGTTATCTGCTCTTCGGATCGGAAAATAGTTCGTTGCGTTTGCGAAGATGGGGTACCCTATCTGCAAATCGAAAGCTTCATATGGAATCTGGATCAACGTGGTGTTGCCACCCGTCACGGCATCAGCACCGATGGTGAAAATCAAGGTCGGCTTGAGTTCACGAAGGCGATCCCTGGCCTGATCCGTGAGGACGTATCTGCCGGTCCCATCGTGGTACTCCAAGCCGAAAGCGGACTCGAAGCGATCGCAGACGGACTTTGGAAGCCAAATTTCTGGAATCGACGAGTCGATCGGAGCAAGTATTCGTTCATTGTTGACCATTGAGAGGGTACCATTGAGTGTATTGGTCACTACAATGTCCTGAAGCCCGACCGTGAGAGCTTTGGCCATGTCGACGATATTAATATTGATTTTGAGAGGTTCGGAAGACCGCGAAAGGTCGTAACCTCCAAGGACTAGGCTTGCGGGTACCTTTCTTCCGCGGTATTGGGCACCAGCCTGATATCCGTACGATAGACTTGGTATGTGACCCTCGTCTTTGAGAGCTGATATCAGCGATGGCGAATTGATCGTCTCTGAGAAATTTAATAGCAATGGCAACAGCCCCATTTGGCCGACCCAGAAGCCAGGCAAGGCAAATGCGGTGATTGCCAGTTTTTCCATCGTGAAGCCATCAACCCCAACACTATCGAATCCGGAAAGGCCATTCCCATTGATTCCATAGTTCCTCCCTAAGCCGAGTTCATAAAGGCCGATAGCTTTCCAGGTCGATGACATGTTCGCCTGAAACCCGGGACTATGACGTTGTTGGAAAGGAGACGCTCCACGAGAGCCGCCACCAGAGATGTCAACAATCAATCTGGATTGATTGGCTTGATTGATTCGAATCAATCTGCTCATTCAATCAAGCCAATGTCGAGATTTTTTTGCATCAATCAAGCCAATCTGAAGATTTTTGTAGATCTTTTACTTAGCTAGGCTAGCTAATTACCTATTTAGGAAGGTAGCTTCTATCAATCCTATCAATTCAATCTACTTATTTTGAAAGAGCTATCAATTCAATTCAATCTGGGGTGCTCAGATTGATTGGCTTGATTGTTGACAAGTCTGGCCGCCACAGGAAGCTGAGGCACCTTGCAATCTGATGCACTCTTCGGCAACTGGAAGCCAGACATTCTGAGCTTGAATTGCTGGTAATACCGCGAAAGTTTGTGCTGGTGTTCCTACTTCAACGAGGAATCTACTTTAGTCAGCATAAACCTGGGGTGATTCTGAAGCCTATAGGGGGGTGTACATTGACCAGCTTCCATCGTTACCGAGCCAGCCTCCAGATGCAGCCAGCGACAGCGCTTTTGCCATGTTGTCAAGATATCTCGGCTGATCTCGAGTATGCTGTCTTACGTGTGTAAGAGATCGAAGGTAATTCCGGAAAGATGGTTTCCCACATGCATTGGGGTGCTCGTACTTGATCCCCACAACGCTGTTGTGGCTGACTGTTTGTTCCTACAACTAAAAATGTAAGAAGATGGTTGGTGGGCCTTGCAGGGCTCTACACCGTTTACACTGCCGAGCAATCAAATTTATTGTATGTTTCCGAATCGAGACAATGGGGCTGAATCTGACCAACCACGACAAGAGTGCCGAGACTACGATTGGGGGCCGTTCGTGAGGCTGGGGAATGTTGGACTCCAGGCCCGTTCCTGAGACCGCGGTATGAAAAGCACCACAATTGATCTGCCGCTTGCAATGCTCACTTTACTTCCGTCTGAATCATCGCCGTTCGCTTAACGCAAAATCTACCTCCACTGCAATCTTGCGCTCTCAATCTTGTGGTGGCCTTTGAGTAGCATGTACATACAGTACCCAATGAGGGTGACTATGCTTGCTGCTGTTCTCTTCACAGGTAACTTTCGGACCAGTAGAATATGCTCTAGGCTCAATGGACTCATGTGATGCAGATCTCAGTCTTGCCGCAAAGATTGCTCGCTTCGCGCCTTCAGCATCAGATTGTACTGGAATCAACACGATCGTCTACACCTCGACTGATACATCAGTCACTGTTGGAGACATCACACGTACTTCGTTGGTACCATTCACAGTGACGGGGTTCTCAACCACTGTCACTGTTCACGTTACCCCATTGCGCAACGGGACAATATTGACTAGTACCGAAAGTCGGGATGTCACGACCAGTGCATCTTTCGAGAAGAGAGCGACAAGTAACGTTGCAGCATCCTTCACGTACGTGCTTGAAAGATAAACCAGGAGCTTACTAATTTACCTCAGAATGTCCCTTTACCGGAACAACTCTCTGGTCATAACGCCAACACCTACGAAGCCACCCACATTCTGCTTGACGTTGACCTCAGCCATCACGGTAACTAATATCGTGACATTACCTGGGGAAACGGGAGTCACTATCACTCTCACTAGTACCATGCTTACTGCTTCAACACTGTTCATTACCGATTATCCCGACCCGGCCATCTTTGAGCCTACTGAAACGAGCACTGTGAATGCCATCCCTACCAGGCCGACAGAGCCAGGAATTACAGATGCTCCCATTGGAGAACCAAGCATCCCCGCATTACCTCAGGATACTTCCCCTGGTCTACCTGAACCTACAGCTAGCGATCCAGTGCAAAGATCATCCAGAGGTCCTGGGCTGCCTCCCGGTGCACTGCCTACCTCGCCAGCTAAACCTCCGACTACCAAAACGACCTCGATCCCAGGGGAGATTCGAACCACGACTCTGCCAGGTATCGGCCCTGTTGTTATAGATCCATCACATTCAGTCATCTTCGTTAGCGGCGTGATAAGCGCGATTACCCCGGGACAACAGACAACTATCAACGACATTCCGATCTCATTCGACACTTCCGCTACATTCTTCGTCATAGATGGTACTCGGACAGTTGGTATCCCTCCATCAACTCCAGCGCCTCGACCAGCGCCAGTGGTAGTCGGTGGCACTACCATCGACATTGGCCATATCGCTACCGGTCTCGACCCAGACGAGGTCACTACCGTCAACGGTGTTCCCATCTCGCTGGACAATTCGGCTTCCAACGTGGTCATTGGAGGAACCAAGACTATACCGCTGCTTGGAGTGACGCAAATGCCTATCGCATCCATGGTGGTCGTGGGCGAGACGACTTTGGATTTAGGCGAGCTCGCTTCAGAACTTGAGCAGGGCGAGGTAACCGTTATTGGCACCATGACAATCTCACGCGACAATTCAGTCATCATCGCTGGTACTACGACTATATCGCTCCCTTCATCACCGAGCGATGTTGTGCTTGGAGGCATGACCATCACCGTGGGGGCGCTTCCTTCTGGATACTCTTTCATTCCCGCTACCGCTGGAGGAGGCCTGCTGCTCCCGAATGGTCAGACACTGATGCCCGGTGCTATGACGACGATTAGTGGCGTTGAGATCTCACTCACTCTAGCAGAGACGCCTGTCGTTGTAGTTGAGGGCTCAATATCCATCACTTCGATCAGCACTGTGGGCAGCACCTCTGGAGGCTTCAATAACGGTGGTACTCTCGGAATTGGACAACCGACAAGTACTTCCACCGGTGACTTGAACCAGTTCACTGGTGGTGCTGTCGCGGGTACGAGAGAATTTCGCAATATGTTATGGATATTAACTATTGTGAGTATGTCATTTGGCGTTGCTTGCTCGTGCATCTAGTCGCAAGCACTTTGCCTATACTTGATCACGATGCTTCCTCGGCTACAGCACTCTTATGTCGTTACCAAGATACATAATGAAGGTTTCAACCATCTCTAACGCTGCATTCAAGGTAGTTACGGTGACCTTCATGGTCTGGGATGAGGATCATGTACGCTCCCGTGTTACGCAGACGAGGGGAAGATCCCGCATGTGGGCGGAACCACATCATCCGGGTGGCTGGCTCAATGCATCTCGACGTCTCTTATGAAAACATGATTTTAAGATGAGGAGCAGAAACTGGAGCTACGACTAGGGCTATAGGAAGGACTGTCGGATTATGTCTGCTGAGGTGTTCAGCCTGGTAACGTTCACTGCATCATAGCCTCTCAGCTTCATCGATTATGTGCGTGCTACCATTCAGGCTGCCTGCTCGATTCTGTAGATGGTTCAAAGGCTTTGAATATACAAAATCATAACATGTGCAACATCTATACACATTTGCAACATCCATACACATTTGCGAAAGCGCGTGACAAAAGCTGTAAAGAAATATTAATGAAATTCAGGGGTATCATGTCTCATCTAATCTAGTATCGTACAAGTTCTCAATCTAAACCACCTCGTAATTGTTACCCTCATTTCCTGTTCTCCGACACGCTCGAATCGTCACCAACTACGACGATCGCTGGCGCAGGACCAGCTTCAGCATCAACATCCTCAGTCTTCTTGTTCCTGGTGAACATGCCCTTAATCTTGCGGCAGCCTTTACAGGCCCATCTGTAGACCACGACGACAGGCTTGCCGACGACGCGCGCGATGACAGCGAACCACTCATCAGGGAAATACCTAATCAGAACTGCCCATGGGATACAAACGAAACCAGTGATGATGCTGATAGCCCATTGTGTGCCATCAATACCACCGGGCTTGATCTGGAATGCGCGGCCACCGACGAACACAATGAGAACCTGGAGTCCAATGATCATGACGACGATGCCAATGAAGAACCAGTTGCGGAGTATACCCTCGAGCACGTTAAGCTTGTTATCGAGACGCCTGTTGTTGAAGATGTTGAAGATCTGCATCCAAACGAAGCTGTTGAAGATGACAGTGTCGAGCTCGAGTTGCTTATTGGGGTCTGATAGATCATAGCCAAGGATGTCGCCACCAGCGAAATATAGCACAAAGATGACTGTGATCTTATAGATGTTCTGACCGGTGATCTGCTTCCACATGGTTGTCGTGATGAGAGGGCCCTTGCCCTGTGGTGGGCGATCAAGGATCTTCTCGGTCGGTGGGTCGGTAGCGAGCGCGAGCGCAGCAAAGGTATCCATAATCAAGTTGACCCAGAGGAGCTGAACAGCTCGTAGCGCGGGCTTCATTTCGTCATCGTACACCGCGGTGACAAATGCGAGAACAACTGCGGTGATGTTGACGGTAATTTGGAACTACTCTTGTTAGCAGGGGAGATTGGAAAGGTATATTGGGTGCAACTTACTTGGAGGAACTTTTGCACAGCATCATTGACAGCTCGTCCCCACATCAAAGCAGTGATGATAGATGAAAAGTTGTCGTCCATGAGAATGATCGAAGATGCTTCCTTAGCGACCTCAGTGCCGGAGACCATGGAGAATCCAACGTTGGCAGCCTTGAGTGCTGGAGCATCGTTCGTACCGTCACCAGTGACAGCAACAATCTCACCGAGGGCCTTCAGCCGAGTGACCAGGATGCGCTTGTCCTCAGGCGAGGAACGGGCCAATACCTGCAAGCGGGGCAGCATCTCGTCGAGCTGTTCGGTAGAAAGGCGGCGGAAGTCGGGTCCTTCCATCACCAAGCCACCTTCGGTATAGATGAGGCATTCAGTAGCAATCGCTCGTGCAGTTTGCATGTTGTCACCAGTAACCATGCGCACTGTAACACCAGCCTTCTGTGCCTTGCGAACCGCCTCAGGCACACCGGGGCGTACTGGGTCCTGAATTCCGACGAGGCCGAAAAATGTAAGATCGTGCAGTAGGGAGGCGAACTCAACACTGCCACCCTCGGTGAGCGCAGCATTAGCCGGCGGCCATTGTGAGAAATCGCGGTAGACTAAGCCGATGGTTCTGAGGGACCTATTTGCGTACGCATTGATTGTATCGGTCAACAGCTGGCGGTGTTCTTCGGAAAGCGACTCTGCCTGAAGGGTCTCGAAATGCGCGAGTTCGGATGCAAGCCTGAGAAGGATCTCGGATGCTCCTTTGACGACAAGGCGGTACTGGCCTTTTGAAAGCTCGACTACAGCGCCCATACACTTTTTAGCCGAGTCGAAAGGAAACATGTGTATGACCTGTCCATTAACACGAGTCTCTGATAGAGAGACGAGTCCAAGGCGGTCTTTGGCGAGCTCAAGCAGCGCAGTCTCGGTCTTGGAACCGACGAAGACTGGCTTGCCGTCCTCTTGGCCTTCGAATGCAGTCGAGTTGATCGCGATAGATTGGATGAGAAGCTCCTTCGCAGCTGGTGAAACTTGGGATGCCCATGCTGAAATGGTTTGGTCCTTGTCCGAATTGGCGGAGTCAGCGTGGACGAAGCTGGTAGTACCAAACGTGCCGGCGACGACAGTCATTCGGTTGGTTGTCTGGAGATGTTAGCCTGCGTTCATGTCGAGCTGTTGCGTAGCACTTACCAAAGTACCAGTCTTGTCAGAGCAGATGGCTGTGGCATTCCCCATGGTCTCACATGCCCGTAGGATTCTGACTAGGTTGTTCTCCTTCAACATCTTGGTTGTAGCAAAAGCCAGTGCCAATGTTACAGCTAATGGAAGACCTTCAGGCACTGCAACCACAATGATGGTAACAGCGACAATGAGGATATCCATGAAGGCTGAGCCCTTTGCCGACGCGCTGCGGGTGTCGCCAGAGAGTCCACCAACAAAGCGAAACAAAAGGACGAAGAACAAGATACCTGCAGCTGTGGTTCCGAGATAGGCAATAGCCATAGCGAGCTTACCTAGCTTCTCTTGAAGTGGTGTAGCCTCGATCTCGACGCGGACAGACATCATGATCTGTCCAAAACTGCTGTGCTCTCCAACCGAAGTTGCCATGAAGGTACCGACGCCTTCAAGCACCTTTGCACCAGAGATGACAAAAGGATCGAGGTTCTTTGCCGGCTGTCCGGATTCTAGCGCCTTCATGACGGCAGCACCTGGAGTCTTTCGCATGGCATCCGATTCTCCCGTAGCAGAAGACTCATCGCACTTGACGTCGGAGCCGTCTACGAAGATACCATCGACGGGAATGATATCTCCAGGCTCCATGTGAATGATATCTCCTGCCAGAACATCATAGATGCTGATCATCTCCGTCCTTCCAGATCGAGTGACTTTGATATCGCGTTGTTCCTTCTTTGCATTGAGCTTCGCAAAGGCTGCTTCCTTCTGCCAGTCATTAACAGCTGTGACGAGCACGACAATAACGATTGCCACGACAATCGCGCAACCCTCAACCCAGTCAACAGGCGTTGGGGCGCCTGGTTCGTGCTCTGCACCGAAAGTCTCGTACAGTCCAAGTGCCAAGGATATCGCCGCTGCAACGGTAAGAACAATCAATACCGTATCGTTGTAAGCATTCCAGATCAGTCTCCATAGAGGAGTGACTTTCTTCGGTGGCAGCACGTTTCGTCCGTGGATGCGGATTCGATCCTCGAATGGCTTTCCATTACTTGGCGGTCGACTTGACTCTTTCTCTTTGGTCGGTGTCTGGGGATTCGTTGCTTCGTCGAAGGAGATATGCCGGGGAACAGTCGATTCGTCGGCACTGAGACCAGTGTGAATGTTTGTTTGTAGACCGGCTGCGATTCCATGAATGCCGCCGAGAGCCTGGTAAACAGCAAGTGACTTGGGGTTCAGAAGCTTGCTGAGTTGTGATGGGGTGAACGCGAACGGGTTGTTGCTGTCTGCTGCCGCTTCAGCGCGCAACTCCTGTTGCAACGCTGCGTCGTAGTCTCCCACTACAGTAGACACACCGCTTGTGGATGCATTACTCGGCGATATCGGCGTCCGGAATGGGTCTGATGTTTGCGAAGTGACAGTGTCAGCCTGACTCAGCGCACGCTGTCTCGTGTTGATTTGGAGTGTTGGAGGGGCAAGTTTGCCGGACTCCATGATGATGAAATAACGATGCTACGATGAAAATATTCGAGAAATGTAGCTACAAGTTGTAATGCACGAGGTTGTGTTTACGTGACGGTAGAGTAAGGGTTGGATTCTAATAAGCTGAAGGACGCATCCCCAGTCGCCATACCTATACTCAAGAGCCGGGCTGTGTAAGTGTGGACCTCATCCAAGACTGCCAGGCGCTTGGTGCGCGATATTAGTCCACTCGGTGTGATACGTCTCTTGCCAGAGCCTCCCTTGGCAAATAGTAGTCTCCTAAGGAATGATAATACCGCGGCGCTTTTTCGCCTTCTCAGCGCAGATGACATCTAGATGTTGCAACCTTGGTAGAATCTACGAGAGCATAGCCTTGTGCGTACGTCGCATTGATGGTCCAGCTGTAGACCCGTCGCCAAGCGAGGCGAGATTTGATGCTTTTGGCGACTAACGTTGTTGATAGCGAGATGAGCGGGTGTCAAGAGTCCGGCGGTCTTGGAAAGGGGGCAGTGCAGACCCCGTCCGAGCGCAATGAAGCGCGGAGACCCTCATCTTCCGCTGCCATCGCGTCGCTACGGACAACCGCTGGAAACTGTTGGAAGGGAAACAAGATGGCGACAGAGAATGACCGTTAGATTGAAGTCACGATTGAGTATCGCTTCGCTGCCTACGGTGCAGATCGAAGTGAGGCTAGCAGGGCTTAAACTGCGCCACTCGGGCGCCACTGAGGCTTTGCCGTGATCCAAACCGCGTTGGGCCTAGTTCTATCTGGTTTCCAGCTCTGTCGGTATCTACATAACATGTCTGCTTGAGGACGTCTTGCTGCTGAGGTGTCAATCGATTCATGCCTATTTTTTTTTGCCATTCTTTGAAGGCGATAAGGGAGAAG